GCTCATAGACTTCCAGGTCCAGGTCGCGTTGGCGGTCGATCCTTTTCTCATTTATTTGCTCTGTGCTTGTTTTGTTATGTTGGTTTTCCCTCTTCTTGTTCAGATTTCTCTTTCTCTCCCATTCTTCATATTGAAGTTGTTGATCCCGGTTATGCGTTTCTGACTCAGAGGTGTCATTGTGTATCAGGTCAAGTTGTAGCGGTTCCCGTACATGTGACTGATGTGGACGTCTTGGCTTTAGGTATTCAGGCTCTTGTTTCTGATGGCTGCTGTGTTGAAGTACTTTTTTTTCCAGGTCATGTAGGTGATAATGCCTTCTCTCTTCTATGAGTAATTTAGGTTTACATGGCTGGCTGAGACTTTTTTTATCTGTTTCTTGTGGCCAGTGTTGTGTTTGATCTTGTGTCGGCTGTGCTGTGTCATGTCGCTGATGGCTACTCCACCCGTTTGGCAGTGGCTGAGGTTCACAGGTCTGGCTGTAACTCCTCACATCTGCCATTTGTGCTGGCTCTTGTCCCTCATCCTTTTGCCTCTCTGCCTTCAGCCTGGGCTCACGTGCTTGCATGCTGCCACTCACACAGCGTTGTGCATCTCCTCGTCTGTCTGTCTCTGGTCGCTGACATCTTGTCTGGCTGTTGTGTTGGTCGCATGGCTCTTGGCTTCGTTCTTTGTATACCTGAGGGTTTGGCTCCCTTGGTTCACTGCTTCGTTTTGCGTCATTTCTTCTTGTGTTACATTGCTGGTGATGACTCCCTGTTTCCTCTGTTGTGTCAAGCTCCTTGACCCTGGTGTCTCGTTGCAGCTCAGGTTCACAGGGGGGATAATGATTACTCTCACAAGTTTGTCGTTCCTCCTCCTGGAGCTGCCGATGGCTCCTACTGTGCTTAATTTCAGGCACTGTGGGTGAAGTGCCACTGGTTGTCAGCGTTGTCCTTTGCAGAAGGTATGGTCCCTTTGGCAGGTACCAGTAGCAGGCCTTAGCCACTCGGAATACCAAAATCAGGAACTCATTAAAATCTATTTCCCCATCGCCATCCCACTCCAGAAACTGCAGAATCTTGTCAATTGTCTGAGGGTCATGTGGCTTCTGCAGGGAAAACACACAGAGGGAAACAAAAAAGGGATTTTAGCCTTCCTGCTCCCTGTCAGAGAAATGCAAAACAGGGACAATTGCAATCTGTTCTCCTTCCATCTCTCACATCTCCACTTTTATAGCTCAGCAACAGCCTCAAGTCTTTGTTCTCCATTTTCCCAGTTGTTCCCTGGGTAGTGCTAACCACCTCCCATCTCTCCAGGATACGCTGTATCCATCTACGGGATGCATTTCCTTCTTCCCTTAGAAAGAAAATCGTTCCTCCCCCTGGTTCATTCTCCAGCTTTTGCCCATTTGCTCATGACAAGATGGGTTGGAAGAACTGTTGAAGCAGGTGGTGCAAAGGAATGCAGCTGCTGCTCCTCCTTGCTGAAAGCCTCCCCATCCCACTGTCACAAGAATCCTCTCCTCTCCAGGAGGAGATTTTGCACCCCAGTCTCAGCCTCAAGCCCCGCCCTCCCTCACAGCAGCACTCACAGCTATGACATCTGCAAACTCCCTCTGGATGAACTCCTTCATCTTCCTTCGGCTGAGCTTGGAGCAGCCTGCATCCTCCTTCGTGTGCCTGTGAAAGACGCTGATGATGGTGGCAATGCTGTCTAAGAGCAGAGACATCTTCCTGCAGATCCAAGTAAGCCTGCAAGAAAAGGAACAGCCCTGAGGGTGGGAGACGCTTACCTCTGGGCATGGAACAAGGAGGGAGAAGGACTGGGGTTGGGCAGTGAATGGGATGCTAGCTGCCATGTGTCTGCTGCTGTGCCATGGCGAGCTCTGTTTCACCAGAGCACTGGGAAGAAATTTAAATGGGTTTTAGTGGGATGGGGAGTGTCCTCCAACGTGTCTACTGACTTACTGAAATGATGTTTGATAGAGGATGGCAGGATGCCTGCATTTATGGATTGGAGGGAGGGGACTGGGGACAGTGACTCAAAAGGTGCCACAAGAAGCCATCCCCACAGGGCTATAGCAGGTACTTAAGTTTGCAGGACCCATGCTGCTATCTCTGCTTGGCACTTAGATACACCAGCTTCTCTGGAGCAGGTTAAAGGATGTCTAATGCAACGCTGCCATGGCCTGAGACAAGATCTCACTGGGTCAGGGACAGGTAGAGTCCTTACAGGCAGTTAAAACAAGCCCTGCAGCTGGTGCTCCTATGACCAGTAGTAATGCAAAACGGCTGATAAGGCTTTCATTACATCAGATCATTGACAAGTAGATTTTGGCCAGAGGGAAACTGTTACATCACCTAAGTCCGAGCTACTTTGATATAAGGAAGAAGTTCTTCCCGCAGAGGGTGGGAGCACTGGCACAGGTTGCCCAGAGAACCTGTGGATGCCCCATCCCTGGGAGTGTCCAAGGCCAGGCTGGATGAGGCTTGGAGCAACCTGGTCTGGTGGAAGGTGTCCCTGCCCATGGCAGGGGGGTTGGAACTGGATGGTCTTTAATGTCCCTTCCGACCCAAACCATTCTGTGATACTATCATTCTATTTATTTAATTTTACTGAGATCTGCTTGGCAGAAAGCAATGCTTCTGTTGGAGCTTTGTGGCTGGAGATCTCAAAAGCCACCACCTTCTTTCCATCCTCACAGGATCCCTAAGCCTGTTATCAGGTACATCAGCGCAGAGATCTCAGCTTGCATCTGGGGACGCTGCGCCTTGTTACCTCTTTAATGTGCACATATGCATGAACTGTGCACACCTCCGCATATGAGATCCTCAGTTTTAATATTTCTGTAGGAAACAGAATATTTCTCCAATCTGTTCATCCTGGGTGGGAGGTGACTCCAGACTGAAGTAAGGCACAAAACCTGGCTCCCTCTCTCATTTTCCCTTTGAGAAAAGCCGCCCCTTTTCTCATGGGCATGCGACAACAGCGTGCAGGCAGCTGGATAACACAACACAAACCAACGTTTCCCTGGATATAAACGCAAAAGACACTCAGAAAACACTGCTGCAGGAATGTCGCTGCCACCCAACACGAATCCTATGGAAATAACATGTCCTTGCCCAGCAAAGTGCACGTTTCGGAAGGAGTGACTTACCCAAATCACCAACGGGATCAAGTGGGATTCTTGTGAAGCCGTGCGGAGTGATCGGAGGACCAGAGTGCTTTTATAGGGTCCTTGACAGAGCTACAGAAAGGAGACACCCTTTGTGGACGTTGTCCTGATTCATCTTTGGCCAAGCCCAGCTGCACCTTCATGTCCTCAAACGGGTTATTTAACTTATCATCCCCTTACCTATCATTTTAACCCAGAAATAGCAGTTGCCATGTGGCAATTCAGGCACTGGCTGGTTCCACCTAATCCAGACTGTAAAGTTAATTTACAGGCTGATTGTATTTCAGATTTTTAAAAACCTAGAGTAGCTATAAACCATATATATGCATTAATGGAAGGGCTTATTTTTATATAAATGTGCATCTGCATAAGTATGAATTTATATATGTATAATACACACACACTCACATAAAAATGGTACCAGAATGAAATTTTGAGGATGGGGACACAAGTGGTGATGGTAGCAGAGGTCGCTATGAGCAGATTGGGGACAGCTGAGATCTGTATGGCCCATGAGCTTGGTACAGAAATACCAGAGATTATCTTAGTTTGTTTTCATGCAGTTCCTTCAGCACCTTGGGCCTGAGGTCAATAGGATTTGGGTCTGGCTTTTGGTCACAGAAGGACAGAAGAAGACCCAAGGGCAGTGAAAATGGTGAAATGCAGGTGCACAGCAGTGAGACCACCAAATCCCCCAGATCTTGGCTTGTGTGGCATCCTTGTAGAGCGTGCTGCAAAATGGGGTTTATTTTTGGTAACTTCTTATTGAGGAGCCTTTTTGTTCTATTATCCAGCTTTTTGCTGGGGAAAAAAACCAACCACAAACAGAACACTTTAAAATGGTAAAGATTACAGAATGCATTTTTATACAAGAAGATGTCTGCTCAATAAGCAGTGACTTTTCATTGAGAAAAATAATGATAAAGCATTTTTCATGTTAACTGTGCTCCACGAATGACTTTCATTTCAACTTTGCTTGATCTCTAATTAGAAACAAAAGCAGAAACCTCTCTGCTGAGAGGTCGATTTGTGTTGAATCTTCATCTGGTTGCCCTAGGCAGCTTTTCCTGTAATTACCTTTACAATCTTTTTCTATTTTTTTTTTTCTTCAATCTTTTAACAGTAAATTAATTAGAGACCAACTGATTTCTTTATTCACCCTGAACTCTCCCAGTACACAGAGCAAATCAGGAAGATACCAGCTGTGCCACTTGGGCCCCTGCTGTTGGTTTTGGAGGTGGGATGTTGCCTTGACAAGCATGACGGAGACATTGCAGGGAGCCTTCAGAGCATGAACTTGTCACGCAGCCTTGGGTGAGTGGCTCATCTGGCCCATCTGTAAGGTAAGATCATACTGGGTGTAGGAGCCTAATTAATTAGTGCTGGTAACACCTTGGGGATACTCATACAAGTGCGTACGAGGGATTGTTACTAACCATACTTCATTTTTGAGCTTTTTTTCAAGATTAAATTATACTTGTGCAAATTATACCCCACCTGTGGGATAATAATACCCTTGGGAAACTGTAATTTTATGGTAGATTGGAGTTATTATTAAAATTAGAGTATTACCATGTGGTTTGGTGTCCTATAACAGTCTGTAATCCCTGCCGCAAGGGCTGGGGCAGCGCGGGACGGCCGAGTGCTGCGTGAGCCACCGTGCAGAGTTTGGGTATCGATGCAGGAAAGGGCATGTCGTGTTTCGGCCATGCGCATGCTGGCATGCTTGCCTGCTTTCTCCTGCTTTGTTGCCGTTCAAAGCAATGCATTTCAAAGCATGGTCTTGGCATCACCGAAATCCGCCCTTTTCTCCAAGGGCTTGGCTTTCCCCAAAGATGCTTTCTTAAGATGGGATTTGAGAAGGCTTTTAAAAGCTATTACTCAAGAGGGGGGCTCCTGCTTCTTACCCAGTTCTGCACCCTTCCCTGTCACTGTTTATATAGTGACTGAACTTATATTGCATTTAATCTTAGAGGAACCGAGCATTCCTTTGGGGTGTATAAAAGACTTTTTCTTTTCCAACACCTCCCAGGCTTGCAGGACTCTTAGATTTGTGTCACTGAGTTAATTTTCATGTTCTCCTTAAAATGAACCAAACACCTACTCTTAACTTCAAATATGACACGCCCGATGGCAAAAGTAGTGTTATTCAGAATAGAGCGTGTCATTAACACATCCCTGACAAGGCTTGGGTTAGTTTTTTATTGATGCTGCAGAGGGTAGCAGTCAACGGACAGAGAGAGTCTGGCAGGATGGTTGGATCTGGTGATTTTAGACCCTAAGCCAGAGCTAGTAAGAAGCAAAGAACTATTGGACAAACCTCTAACAGAGACCTATTTTACAAGAAAAATGAAGTTGTCTGGAAAATGAAAAGTTTTGAGGAATGTCTCAGATGGAATGGGGTTTTTATGGATAAGTCATGAAGTATAAGCCTTGACTCCAGTTTCATGTCCACAGCTCTCACGAGGTAGGACAGAACTTATTTTTGCTAATGGGTTTTACCAGTAGTAGAGCAGACTGGTATATATGCTTGGTGTCTAATACGCTTAATTTTGACACCAGCACTTTTAAACCAAATCATTTTTGTGATGTACATTCTGGGGGTAGTTTTGAAACGCTGGTTTTTCTGATTCAGCACTTAGCAAATTGTGAAATTCTGGGGTGTCTCAGAGGAATGACGTTTTATTTTCCAGTGAGGTCTCTGCATGCTGCTTGTCACCGGCCACAAAGCAGGAGGTGCGGGTGCATTTATCGTGTGCTGATTTTGCTGATAGGTCACAAGTGAAAGATAGCATGGTGAAAAACAGGCTGAGCATCACCCTCCCTGCGGGATGCCATGTCCTGGGCCTGCCTGGTGGTCCAACACATCTGAACCCCATAATAAACCCCACTGATTTCATGAGACTGCTCATGGCCTCAGTTACTCACATTCCTATGTGCATGTCTGGAAAAATCCCCGAGGACCTGATACCCTGAACGACCTGAACTGAATCTGAGTCTGACATTGGCTCCGTTTGTGCCATTTGCAGGTCAGCTTTTTATCTCTGACCTCCCAGTTGTTACTGGGACTGGATGTACCTGAATGATCATTTTTCCTGTGTTTAATATATCTCCTTTGGAGACTTCCATAGCTAATAGGCATTTTCGATCATCATAGCATGCTCCACATTCCCCTTGCTTCTGACATTATTAATAAGCGAGGTTAAATAGGACAAATCCCTCCCATTCAGTATTAAGCAGCTATTTATTCTTTTTGCAGCAGACATGAAAAACACCCGGAGCAGATGGATGTTGTGAGGAATCTGTTCAGGTCGGCCATGCCATTGTGTTAATGCAGACTTCCACCCGCTCTGAAGACACCTCTCACAGGGATGTCACATCCCTGCCTGCGGGGAGCAATTGATTCACCTTGGCTAAATTGCAAAGGTGGCTGAGCAGCAGCTCCTTCAGGCTATCCACCCCCAAGACACACCTTCTCTGCAGTCATCCCTCCAACTGCACCCTGGAGCAATCGGACTGTGCAAGGGATGGACGCTCAGGTCCTCTACACCACACCACATCAACCCGGATGTTTGTGCAGAGCCGGGCCAAGGGCACGCTTGCAGCAACACACTGGGACACTGGGCCCTTTTGCCTTCAGATTTATTGCTTTGCTTACACAGGCAGAGGCAGCTGAACACGGGGTAAGAGGGAAGTGTCTAGTCATGCAGAGCTCAGTACAAACCAGGGGTGTGAAGCCCAGGGTTACTGAAGAATTGGACAAAACATGGCAATAGAAAGGCAAAAACCAGAGTGGGACCTGGACAAAATTAATCTCCTTGCAGGGGGCAACAGGCTCGCTTAGACAGGGGCTTTTTTCAGCCTTTACAGCTGTGGTGGCCACTGATACAGAGACTGCAGGAGCTGTTGCTCTATAGGGGGTTGTCTTTGGTGATGAGCATCTTGTTGCTGTTGTGCTGGGCAAGACGGCGCCTCTGTCCCACTGTGCTCTTCCTCCAGCACCTTGGATTCAGGGAGCTGATGGCAAGATGAGTCATGGGACATTCTCCAGGGCTTGGGATCCCAATGGAGGCTTGCACCCCGCTGTGGGGGCAGCACGTTCTGGGTGCTTCTGCTGTTGGTGTCCTGCTGAGGGGCCTCACAGACCTGGGTCGTATTGTTTGGGTCTCTTCCTTGTGTCTCAGGGGAACAATTCAGGTTCTTCTCTGCTGACTCCACCTCTGGGCTCTGATGGTTGTTTGAACCTTGTTCTGGTGCCTCAGTTTCTTGGGCCTGTTGGGTTTTTGAGTCCTGTTTTGGTGTCTCAGCCTCTTCAGCCTTATAGCTATTTCTGTCCTGCTCTGGGGTTGCAGTGTTCAGGATCTCACATCCCTCTGGATCCTCTTCTGGTGCTTCAGTCCTGTCATCCTGATGGGTGTCCTGGTCCTGCTCTGATGTCTCACCCTCCTGGGTTTGACGTGTGTCCTGGTCCTGTGTCTCAGTGTCCTGGACCTCATTGTTCACACCCTGCTCAGGGTTAGGGGAGACCCTCCCCGCAGTTTGCGGCCCTGATGGCTGCTCCCCACCTGCCTCCTCTTGCACTGTCGGGTCTTGACTATCTTCCAACACCTGGTGCTGCTGGACCGGCTGGTAACAAGCCTTGGCCATGCGGAAAACCAGGCTGAGCAACTCGTTGAAGTCAACCCTGCAGTTGCTGTCATCATCCAGGAAGCACAGCACCTTCTTGATGGATCTGGGGTCCTGGGGATTCTGTAAAGAGGCAAATGGTATTGGCAAAGTCCCTGAGCCATTTATGCCAACTCTCTAGCAACACTTGAGCATTCTCAGGGTCCCAACTCCCCATGAACTGTATTGCTCCCCACCCCAAGCTCTACAAGGTGCTGGCACTGGGACAATGAACAGCCTCTCCTCTTCCCCGCAGCTCCCGGGCTTTGAAGGCATCTGTGCCTTTCTTAGGGAGCCAGGTGTCCTGCCCACCTACATGGGAGCGCACCCACCTGGCTGCACTCCCCATCCCAGCCCTGCAGCCAGGAGCAAATCCCTGGGTCTGGCAGCAGCTGTGGGGCCAGATCCTCACCTCCATTGCATCTGCAAACTCCTGCTCAATGAGCTGCCTCAGCTCCTCCCTGCTCAGGGGGCTGCAGTCACTGTCTCTTCTGGCACACATGTAGAAGGCAGCCAAGTTGCTGTTTTCCTGGGTTTGGGCCATCTCCCTGCAAAATTGAGGCAGCCTGTGAGGAAAACAGAGACAAAGGTTTTTAGTTTGTTTGCTTGGGTTTCATATAAGTTACTCTTAAACGACACAGCTGGACAGGCAGAGAGAGAAAGAAGAGTCAGAGAAGGGCACAGATAAGATGAAATGGTGTAAAGGAAAGGAAAAAGAGAGCAAGAAGGATCTCACAGGAAAACAAATCTGAAAAATGAAACTCAGCTGGGAGTGAGGAATAGACTAATTCCAGATCTCTCTCATTATTTTTTTTCCTTCAGGAGACCTCCGCAGTGGCAGCTCTTGGGACATCCCCATGGCCAGAAGCTCCTGCTTTCCTGCTGGGAGCAAAGTCAGACAGGGTGAGAAGGCTGTCCAGGCTTACCTGGGTGAGGAGCAGGAACGCTGAGCTTCCGGAGTGCAGTGTGGAGCAGGTCAGCTCTCAGCTGTCTTATATACAGTTCAGGATCACAGCCTGCATCTTCCAGAGGAGACACCCCGTCAGCAGGGCGACCATCTCTCACCCAATTACATTGTCATGCCCTGGTCTTCATTTGTCTCTGTCTAATTAACTTCTGCTCTGATGCTTTTCTCTGGAGTTATTGTGTGATCCCTCCTAAGCTTGCCCCACCTGCAGACACACTTCAGAGGAATTTAACAGAAAAGGCTATTTTTACCACTGGAGGATTTAGTTAAAGGTGATGCCGGAGCAACGCCCAGGCCTCTTGTTTGGCAAACATGTTTTGTGAAAGGAGATCCCCAGTGAGTGACAGGCAGGGGAGGAGACCGCTTGTGTGGTGAATAAAGAGGAAGGAAAACAAAGGAAGGAAAAAATGAGGGTATTTTGGTTGCCAAGATTAACGTGATAGTGATTCCTTCCAGAAACTCCCTCTTCTGGCCCCTGATGGGGAAGAAGCAAAGAATTCTTTTCAAAGAGTGCCACCAAGTGGCACTTGGAGTGGCACAGAGGCGTGACATGGCGTGTCCCAGGGCCAGCGAGCTGCTGGGGGCTGTGGGCAGGGTGGGCTGCAGTCACCTACTTACCAGAAGAGGAAACGGAGGCATATGGCAAGAAGGGACTTAAACTCCTCCTGCTGTCTCCAGCATCAGTCCCTGCTGCAACCCTGTGTCCTGTGCGTGAGGCCACCATACTGGGGCCCAGTGGGTGAACTGGGAGCCCCAAGGACCTAAATGCAGTTATTGCTGTTTGCTCAGGAAAGTAAATTCTCTATCTCCCTATGTCTTATTGCCCTCCAAGCTGCTCCAAATGCACTGCGAAAGTTGTTTCCTAGGCACTTTGAGTAAGGATTTTGCATGTCCTCACTTTATCTTTCTATTTTTTAAAGTCCCTTTCATAGCCAATATAGGGTTAATAAGAAAGACTGGAAAAAAAAATTATCAGAAATCCACATAGCTTTTAAAGTACAAGGTGTTTTGGTCACGGAGAGTAAAACACATCCCGGTTTGTATTAAAAAAGCACTTTTTGGAAAATGCCCTGGCTTGCTCTGTGCCTGGTAGGAGGAAGGTGTACGGGTCCCACTTCATTTGTGTGAAATCCTTGTGTGCTGGGAGGGGATGGATACAGGAGGCTGCAGGTCAGGAGGGCTTTGCAGGCTGTCCTGTCCTTTGGTTGTGTGCTCAGGCCCCTGGAGCTCAGGGTTTCTTTTTCTCTGTCTGGTCCTGTCTGAAACCATGCCCTTTCCTTACGCTGAGAAGTTTCTAACATATCTAATATATTTGGGCCTGTAGTGGCAGCAAAAGGGGTGATGGGTTTGAACGGAAAGAGGGAGATGGAGATGGGACATCAGGAAGGAATTCTTCCCGCAGAGGGTGGGAGCACTGGGACAGGTTCCCAGAGAAGCTGTGGATGCCCCATCCCTGGGAGTGTCCAAGGCCAGGCTGGATGAGGCTTGGAGCAGCCTGGGCTATGGAAGGTGTCCCTGCCCGTGGCAGGGGGGGGGACTGGGGGGGCTTTAAGGACCCTTCCAACCCAAACCTTGCTGTGATTCTTTGATATAGCAGTTTTAATCCCAGGTGCCACCATGCAGCTCTGCTCTTAGACCAAGTGGGCAGTGCCCATGGGGGAGCTATGATCTCCCTTTTATTTATATCAATCTATCATGTCTGCATGAAAACACCCCACTTTCCTCTAACATGGGGCGTGTTTGCTGCCAACCTTCTCATTAAGCTGCAGTGAGGGTGGGAGGCAATTACTGGGTCACCTTGGAAAGGCAGAAGTGTTTAGGGTGATCTTCCAGAGTTATTTCTAGTCAAACCACCCAGACCCTGAGCAGTTTCTCAGGTGATTTCTTCTCCTGTAGACAACCGTAGACAATAACTGGTTTACACTGTACAGGATTTCACACATGCTTTGTGATGCAGAAAAGATTAGAGAGTCAAATGATGGGTGAAGACGTTAGAAGTGCTGCAGAACAGAACAAACATCACTTTTAGCTGAGCTTGCAATAAATTGTGTTGAATCCAGGGAGCAGAGGGTAGGTGCTTCTGAGGCTTGTGCTTCGGAAATCACGGGGAACTTCAGTGGTGCTGCCTTGAGAGCTGTGAAAGAGAAGAGGAGGCTTTACACAAGCTTACACCTGGTTAACAATGATGCTGGGGGATTCTGAGCAGGATTGGGAAGGGGCTGGGAGGGGTTGCTCTCTGAAAAGGTCTGGAAAGAAGCTGATCTTCCTAGAAGCTACTCTACAACAGAAGATGAGAAATTGTGCTGTTCTTTACCCCCAAAATCGCAGTTCTACCAGTTAGCTTGTGATGCCTTTGACTGAAATAAAGCTTGAGCTCCAGTTTTTCTGTTTTCACCCAACATCAAAAGGAAACAGCAGCCTCCAAGTCTGTGCTTTGAGTGGTTAGAGATTCCCAGGCACCCCAAGACCTTCAAGCCATGCTGGTGCTGGAAAAGCATCATGAGCACCACAGCCTAAATTTTGGGGCAGGAATGGTAGCATCTTGCTGTAACATGAGGAATAACTCCTTCCCCTGTGATGCCACCTATACTTCAGAGAAGAATAAATATTTTGTGAGTTTGCATTCGAAACATAAAAAATGCATGTTAATTGGGGTTGACTTTCCAACATGGATTTGCCACAGAGGCACGGAGTAAAGGAGCATGGTGTGGTGGTGGAGGGAACAAGTCTGCAGCACTTTGTTTACTTGACAGACTCACTCCACTAATATTCATGAATCTTTGAGGTGTGTTTGCTGAAGGAGCTCTGTTTTCTGAACTCACCAGTAGAAAATGCACTGGGGCACTGGGCAAACCAGCTTCTCTGGGTAGGCAGTGTGTATTCAGGCTTAGGAGGCTGGTAAATGCTCTCTTGAATAGCCTAATTCTATCCACATCTGTCCAGTCCACCTTTCTTTCTGTTTCTTGGGCAAAAAGATGTTCTAAGTGTGCTGGTCTGTGTGTTCACACAGAGGGCAGCTGTGGACTGCACAGCTGGATGGGTTTGGAGGAGTGATGTGCAGCGGGGCAGGGTGAAGCTGGAGGTGACCCCTGACTCGTGGCAGCACTGGGATTTTGGCATGGTCATTTGGAGCAAGAATCATGTCAGATTTGCAGGGAAAAAAAAAAAGAAAAAAGAAAAGAGGAAAAAAAGATGTGGAAAATCTAGATGTGTAGGGTTATGCAAGAGCTTTTAAATAATTTAGTAGCTGTTCTTACCACCATGGTGATTGCTGAAGATCTACAGCTTACGTCATGCTTAAGTTTCTCCTGGTGTATTTTAATGTGTAAAACAGTCTCACCTCAAATTCTTTTCTTTGAAAATATAACTAGAAAGCTGGTGCCTCCTCAGGCAGCTCAGAGTTGTTTTCCTCTCCTGCCTGAAGATCTTGTGGACCTGGAAAACTGCTCAGCTACTTGGTTAATGGGGAGGAAAGGGAGAAACAGATGAAGGAGGAATTGGGAGGGACGGGGCTGCAGAAAAAGCATTGCCAGCAGCCGGGGGTGTGTGCTGAGTGTGTGTCAGACAGTAATGGCTGGGACTGGTGTTGGGTGTTAGGACTTGGGGGTGCTGAAGGTCTGGGGCTCGGGGGAGGGGGAGTTAGGTCAGAGTGGTCAGGTTTCTCAACAGAAAATAAAGGACGAAATTACTGTTTGTTCCTGTGTGACTCCGATTGTTCCTGTTTTTTGAAGAGCAGAAGTGTAGGTTAGCACTGATGAAGGAGGGAAAGTGCTACACTGAAGATTTATCGTGGCAAAGCATTTAAATATGAGTTTTGGAGAGCTGGAAGGCTTCGGGGTGCGAAGGGATGGGGTTTGCTTTGGGAGGTTAAAACAAAAAGCCAAAACCTGGTTAGTTCCTATACTCTGTGCAGCCATGGGACCCAGAGGTTTTACCTGTGGTTGGTGCCCTCCTACCATGCCTCCTTTGCCTTTCCTTCCTGTTGTTTCCTTTCTTTGGCCTGCTGAGAGGAGCTTACACTGAGATTTTCTTGCCTTGTTCCGTACTTGAAACGTGATTCCTAAACTTTCCCAGGGCTGCAGCCCATTATACAGAGAGTTTTATCGCCACATCTATGTCATTATCAGGAATTAAGCTTAATTGGAATAAAATGCTTTATTTTCCTATGCTGCCTAGGCATTTCAGAAAGTTATTTCTGTTGCAACCTTCTTTATTGCTAATTCATTGTGACATTAAGAAGTGTAATACATCAGCTTTTCTCTAATACATGGTTCCACTTTTTTACATGTTAATGAGCATATTTAACATATTTTTTCAGAGATAATTGGATTCGAAGACTCCCTGTGGTAAATCACTGAAAGCCAGCTAGGAATGCCTTTAATATCTAAAAGACTCTTTCTGCATTTGAATAATCCCACAATTAAAAATAGGAATTAATCTTTTGGGTGAAACAAGGCTTTTGAGGATACTTTTCTCATTTTGAGACAGTTTTAATACATATGTTAACTATACTTATGGAGAAGTTAATTAATCCCTTCCTTTGCATTTGTACCCCAGAACTCACAAAGGGGCACAGG